ATTAAGATAATATTTTTTATATCAACACTTTAAAATTAAAAAATAATATCTAAAAATTTATTAATTTAATATCTTTTAAACAAAAATAATTTAAAAAGTAGATTGAAACATAAAAATAAATATTCTGATACTATCAACCAATTAGCCTGCTCCATTGATGTGCTCACAAAGGTCTATAATTTTGTGTTGTTATTTTATCCTATGCAATTTATTATTGTAAAGTTTTAATTTGCTCCGTTTATGGGATGTCTTGATTCACATCGAGAGTTTGTCTTGTTAAAGTACGCTTCGTGTGCTTGGGGTGCACGTGAATTCCGAATTCCATTCCTGCGCATGATATAAGGCAGTTTTTTAAAGTAATTTTTTTTTTCAAACATTGTTTTTTTATCATTTTGAACGTACCGTGTCAAAACTAAATTTAAAAAAATAAAAAATATTTTTTAAAAATATATATTTTAAAAATCAATCATTACTATATTAATATTACTTATAATCTTATAATAACATTTCGAGGTGTTCTGTTCATCCCTCCTGGTAGTTAACCACGTGCATAAAATTTATGTCTCAATTACAAATTTATATTCATGATGAATATTCAAGTTAATTTGTATGTATTTTAATTAATTTTAAAATTAATAATTATCTAAATTTTAATAATTTTAAAATTTATAAAACTCAAACCAATAATCTCTAAAAAATTAAGTTACACATTATAGGTTTCTTCGTTTCATTTCTTAACCTCCATAGTTTAAATGGATCCCTGTAAAATTAAAAGATTATCAAAGCCTTTACGTGGATACCACATGCAAATAGAGAAATAAAAGGAAAATAAAGGCAAATTATCGCGCACTAATAGATGAATCAGAGAAATAGGAATAAAATAACATCATCAGAGAGCAAAAAAGGATCACGGTGGGGAAAAAGGTAAAAGGAATACTAGAAATGAAGATAAAGGGAAAGAAACCAGGAAAAAAGAAAAGAAAAGAAAACAATAACAGAGAAAATAAATAAAGGCAAATCATGGCGCGCTAATAGATGAATCAGAGAAATATAGATTAATTAAACAAATTAATAGACAGTGTCACAGAGACAAAAACACATTAAGAATCGTAAAGAAAAGACACATGTGGGATTAATAAGGATAACTCAGCTTTGAAGGCACAGTCGCGGGGATAATGAAAGCTAGGAAATATCATTAGAAACGAATCAAGAAACATAAAATATATCATAAACCGAATGATTTTTGCAAGAAAAAACCATTGCCTCGTCCTCTCTCAAAGAAATCTGAACAACCAGAAGATTGTTCTTCAACAAAGCTAGTAAAAACAAAGGAAGAAGAACGGGGGAAACGAGTGGCGGGAGAAAAAATGCCAGGAAAGTTACCGGCGGGCATTTAACGCGCAACAAACAAAAAATCAAAACACCCTCCCAAACAAACACATCCTTCAGCCACCCCTAATTCAAAAAACGTAACCACGCCATGTAAGCGATGGCTAAGACATGAAGTAAGTCAATTGAGAAGGAACATGAAACCCCCCCTCAAGCCCAGCATCCATGGAAAAAGGCGGGGAAAAAACCCTACAATATTGACCAAAAACGCGCAGCCCAACATCCCACTGAGGAAGCCACAATCAATATTCTTCAAACAGTGTCGTTTATAGTGAACTGTGAGACAAGCAATAGTCTAACACGGTAAAAAAAAACAGTTATGTTTTAGTTTTTTATTATTAATACGCATGCAAACAACCATCTTCGGCTTCCTTCATCCAAGTTGAATTGATTCAAGTACAGTAGGATCTCCAGGTATCCAATGCGACTTATTTTGCAGATTTTTTAGCCCACAACACCACCATAGCAGAAACTTCAGTCCAGCTCAATCTACAACCTCGCCGGTTAGCGATACATACCCAACACAACATGAATAAGCATCAATGACAAAACAAAAACAACAACAACATGCGATGCTCAAGACAAGACCAGGTTAGCGAGATGCATTCATATTCGAGAATCGAGATGTGATACGAGATAAGCATTGACAATTCCAAGTCTAGAAATATGTTTGGATGTGTTAAACTATATTTTTTTTATATGAAAACAATCATGATTTTTTTTGTTTAATGCTTGACCGTGTTAGAATTTTTTTACTAGATCTTTCTATCGCTACCTTGTTCCTTACAGGTCGGCTGACATTAATATGCTAAGATATGAAATATGTCTGGATTGGATTAAAAAGTTGTTGTTCAGGAATTTTCTTTATTTTTCAAGTTATTGTTTTATCTGTTTCCTAGCTGGGTTTCAAGATTTTAATTTGATTTAGATTTTAATTTGATAGTTAAGTCTAGCCACTCTGTGAGTTATTTTTGAAAAAAAAAATAGTTAAGATTATTCAATTATTTAGATTTTTCTCTAAAAAAATCACAGTATAATCTTATGGTAATTATTTTTTTATTGCTTTATAAGCTGCGTGAAATTGAAATGCTACTATTGTTATATTGTTAGAAAGAATCAGACGAAATTGTCAATGGAAAAACGTAATTGAGCTCTTTAGGCCGACAATCAACTCACACGGCATTGAATTTAATTTAAAGAAACAACCTCACGTAATTGGCAAGTATCATGTGAAGCTTTAAACCGTCTGTGATTTATACTGTGTGTGCACCGAGGACCAGGATATACTCTATTGTGTACTTGCATGGTAGAATTTCCCAGCTCTGAAAGCTTGGGATAGGGTATTGATATCTTTCTTTGTTAGTTTATTTATTATTTTTAAGAAAAATAGGTAGTGATTTTACATTGACAACTGCATTGACTTAAAAAAATAAATAGCAGAAATTTTGTTTCTCATTAAATAGTACGACTGCTTCATTACCCTTAACATCCATTTTTTCAGTCCTGGTTTTAGAGGTTTGGATGTAATTTCATAATGAATTTTTTTATTATTATTGTTTAATTCTAGTAGTATTTTTTATTTTATACAAACAAAATAATAAAGTTTTATATACATGACTTGCACGAATATAACTAACTGTGACAGTATTGATCATGTTTTTGCTGCATAATTTGATTTGTTTTGATATCTTTTTTTTTCTGGATGATGCGTGCATGGTGGTTTGGTTAGGTTTTTGATATCAATGTGCTTTTTTTTTTTTTTAGGTTGTGTGCTGGCTAAGTTAAAAATTAAATCAACCCTTCAATTTGTTTTTTCTATTGATTAAGTTTCTTTTCTCTTAATTGTAATTGTTTTAATTATATTGGTTATTTATAATTGAATTTTATTTTTAATTTCATCTTTGGCCATATAATTTTTTTTATATATTTTATTAAATTTGGTTCTCATTCTTTTAATTGCTATTTATTTTGTTTTAGGTCAATTTCATTTCATTTTTCCCTTAACATTTAATTTGTAATAGTTTTTTTGTTGAATTTAGTCATGATTATTTTAATTGCTATTCTTTTTGTTTTTCATTTTATTCACTTATTTTAACATGTATTTTTATTTCTATTATCTTTTATTAATTTTAATAAAAAAAATCAGTTGACACAAGCATATAAATGTCTTATATTATCTTATAGAATTAAATATTTTGATTTTTATTTATCTCTTATTTTTTCTACTTTCTCTTTTAGTTAATGTTTGCAAAAAAAATTATTTGCATGGATGATTATTAGATGTTTAGATAGATTTTTTGTTTCACACTTATAATTTTTATCATGTAAAAAAATATATCAAAATAGCCTTAATTTGTACTGAATTATTTTTCTTTTTAAAAATTATGACTCACTATTGAATACAACTCAAATCATATTTTTATTTGTATTTTAATAAATTATTTTCTTGACTTCATTTTAGTTAGGATGCTCTCTATAGTTAAATTTTTTTTCATGATTCTAGCTTTTAATATTTAATCTGTTAGGGATTTAATTTTGTATCATCTTATCATTTTGCTTTTGCTTTTTTTTTTTTAATATTAGTTTTGTAATTTTCTTTGAATTCTTTTACATGGGCTTGTTTGTGTCTTACATACTATTTTTTAATATAAGTTTTTTATAGAATTATTTTTTTGTGTTTAATTTTTTAAGATATTATTATAATTTATTTGTACTTTTTTGTATTGTATAAATAAAGTTAATTTTTCAAGAAAAAAATATATTTTTAAGTAACATTATTGACGTGTTCGAACTTGCATGATTTTTTAGAACATGAATTTATTCAATTAGTTTTATTTGTATTTAGTTTTAGACCATGAGTTTTATAAGATATTGATTTATTTTTTATGAACTCCAAGCTTAACGAATATAATTAAATAAATATTTCATATAGTATGAATGAATATCTTATTTTATATTTATTTTTTAATTTATTTTTTTATTATTGTTAACAATTTTTTTAGATAAATGATTATTAATTTATTTAACTAAATATGTGAATGACTCCAATAAACAGGCTTAACGAATATAATTAAATAAATATCTTATATAGCATGAATGAATATTTTATTTTATATTTATTTTTTTATTATTGTTAACCATTTTTTTCGATAAATAATTATTAATTTATTTAACTAAATATGTGAATAAAATTTTTAATTTATACTTTAATTTTTTTATTAAAAAACATATTAAATAAATATTTTTTTAAAATAAACCTATGACAAAGTAAAAGTCAAATATACAGTATAAACAATAAAAGAAAGAAGTTCGAAGCTAAAGTCAAATCCACAAGGCTTTGTCTAGAAATTCCACTTTTCCTTTGGGCCAAAGAAAACGAAAGCATAAAAAACAAAACCTCATTGACGAGGTGGCAATCATCACACCATTCTCTCTAACTTAACTCGCAAGTCACTGCACCCACATTCATCCACTGAGCGAACGGTACCCAACTACCTACCCTCAATCGCCACCCCACCCGCTCCCAAAAATACCCTTACAAAACAAAAAACGTAATACCGTCGCTGCCTTTATAAAAAAAAATCAGCGGGGATATTTTAGTAAAGGAGATCGCGTCCAATAGAGTAGAGATTGCTATAAAAATCCCGGGTTGACGCGACAATGAGTTCTTGATCCTGCCATGCTCTTGTTGATTTCACAATCAACACCGGGAAAAAGCGAAAAGAGCCAATGGCAGAATCCTATAGGGTTAGGGTTCCACCACAATTACCATCACCTAACCCTAAAATCTGCTGCAATCGCGCAACAGATTGTTGCTCGGCGCCATTAATTCTCGCAAATCTTGCCAATTTCACCAAGAGTGCAGCGCCGGCTAGGTTCATATACTTCAATCACGATGGACTGTGGATTGATTTTGAAAACGAGGTTGTGGAGTCTCTCAAGCCTGCTTTCTTGGACGGCAAGGCGGTGATTGAAATATCGTTTCGTGAGTCAAGGTATCTGTTTGATTTTACGCGTATGTTGCAAATTGATTTTGATTCAGGGATTCAAAGATCAATTGCGTGGATTGATGTGAACGGGAAATGCTTTTTTCCTAAAATGTTTGTGCGTGAAGATTTTGGGGATAATCTAGAGGAGGAGAGATTGAGTAATCGTAAAATTGAAATCGAAGTCAATATTGATGGAAATTCAATTAAGCGAAAAAGAGAGGAATTTCGTGACAAAGAAGAGCCCGAGGTTACTTCGTCGAAGAAAGAAGAGGGTGGATTGAAACGGCAGCGTTTGGGGATGCGTGATGTGGGAAATTGTAGGTGGCTGAATACGAGGGTATTTAAAGAAGAAGAGAAGAGTTATTCACCTGTGAAGAATTATTTTTTGTCCGGTATGAAGAAAATTGATCCTGATGTTGTGATCACGGCAATCCATCAATGCACGCGTAAGGGTCTTTCGGGGGAGGCTCGTCAAGAGGTCTTTTTAAAGCAGATTGAGATTACAAAGGCAGCCAGGGGTGTTTCAAATACAGTGTATGCTTGGTATGGCGCGCCTGCGAAGGAAGTTGAAAGTATCCTGGCTCATGGTTTTGGTGGACCTCGTAAGGTTTCTGCTGGTGAAACTTATGGTGTTGGTGTATATTTGTCTCCTTTTGGATTGCCTCATATGAGGTAATGCACTAATTGTGTTTTGTTGGAGTTCTTTTGTAGTTTTAGGAGATTTATTAGGTTTCGTTTTCCTTTTTTCCTTATGCCCTTTGATGATTTGAGTTTGTGTGGGTTTTGTTTTCAGTGCCAAGTTTGCAGAGGCAGATGATAACGGTGAAAAACATATTATACTGTGTAGAGTTATATTAGGTAATGTTGAGACAGTAGTGGCAGGGTCTCAACAGTACTATCCTTCTACTATTGATTTTGATACTGGCACTGATGATCCCAAGAATCCCAAGTGGTATGTTGTTTGGTCGAGTGTTATGAACAGACATATTATCCCTGAGTGTGTTGTGAGCTTCAAATCGTCTATTAACGTGCCAGGTATATTCTGGTTTCCATAGGTGCTTCATTTTAGCCGTCAATTTTGTATAGTAATTTCATTGAAGCTGTTTTCTCTTAGGTCAAGTGAGAGGATCGACTCATACAAAGTATTCCCTTGAGAAATTGTTTTCAAAATTAAGGAGTTGGCTTCCTCCTGAAAAAATTAAGGAAGTGACCAAACTATATGATGTGTATAGGGTAAGTAGGCTGATAGCAATTTTTATTGCATTATTTTCTAGTATTTCCTAAGTGCTGGAGTCTAATTTTATACTGATTTATTGTTTTCCAGGCTGGTAATTTGTCCAAAAATATTTTCATACGGCATTTGCGAGGTGTGGCAGGGGATTATGTTCTGTTATCTGCTATTCGGGAGATACGTAGTTCAGAATAAGGTTTTCTGGGTTTTGTATTGTTTGGATATGTTATTAGTGCTACTGTTAGAAAGGTGTATCAAAATGATAGAGCCACCTGCATTATCATCTCACAGGATTACCGTGGTATTAGTGATGAAAGATTATCATGTGAAACAACAAGAATTACTTGCAGTTTTTTTCTTTTTTCCAATATAAGCAGCAACTTTGTTTTAGTTAAATGGTAAATATGCTTGCAATTTGTTTTGGATTATTTCAATACAACACTGATTTTTTTTGTGGTCAAGACATTTTGAAACCTAGTGAATTGCATAAAGCTGCTATTATAATGTTGACATTGAGTAGTGTGTTGTAATTTTTATTGTATGCTAATGCATGCAAAGTAAGTTTCTGAGGGGCAATATCCACTTTATGTGTGAAAGAATATTGTTGTTTTAGAATGCCTGGATGCATCTCTCTATTCTATATCGCGCTATGATTTTATTTTGGGCATGGAATAATGTGGGAGTTCCTTTGACATGTTATATAATTTCATTTAAGAATTTCCAATACAACTACGATGAATTTGAATTTAAACATAACCACCCTTGTTTATATGTATTGGGATCTTTATTTAATTGAAGAAATATCTTCCATTTTGGATATTATTTGTCACTATAACAAAAAAATTAAAGGGAAAAATCTTTTCCAGATGTCCTTGTCATATATCTTGTTAGTGGGCCAACAGTAGGTTATTTGCCTTATATTATTATCACCACTACTTCAGAGGACCTTCGTTAAAGATTATATGAAGTTTGTAGGCTCCCTTTTCCATAATCACTTTCATTTATATGTTGGTGCTTTTCCAGCTACGATATATGGGAAGAAGTGAGATATGAAATACTGATTGTGTATTTGTCAGTGAATTACAGTCTTCTATTATCTTTGCTCAGCGTATGAAGATTCAGATGAACTTTGCATTTGGTTCCGTGAGTCTTTTGTTAAGAAGGAGAGATGCTCTGAAGCATAAAGTGTTAAGCTCATTTGTTAAGAAGGAGAGATGCTCTGAAGCATAAAGTGTTAAGCTCATTTGTTAAGAAGGAGAGATGCTCTGAAGCATAAAGTGTTTATGCAAGTGAGTTAATTGTTGTGGAATTGTGTGGATAGTGGACTCTCTCGTAGTTTAAAGATAATTTACCTGCATTAAGGAATGTTGATTTTGGTGTCTAGAAACTAAAGTGGGAAGTTTTCATTTTAAGAGAGCAAGTTTATCCATGCTATTTGAGATATGTTCAGTGCATTATTTGCTTAGCAAGTTGGCATAAGTGATTTCAGAACTAGATTTCTCAGACACATAAGGAGTCCTAGTTTTTTGCTCCTTCAGGTTTGCATATTCTTGCTCCTGCTTGCGAAGGAAATATTGGATCTTGCACAGGTAATTGAAATTTTCATAATAGTACTCCTTGGAATCTAGTATTCTTTTTCATCAGTTTGTATCTCAGGAATGTTACCAGTCTAATAAAATGAGATGAATGTCAAATTTCTTTTTATTGTGTTCAGATCATGAGAAAGGCCGGGATGGATTGTCCAGTTTCGCCTGTCTTTGATTCATGTATCAGTGTTCCTGTTTTGTTCTGGTAACTAGATTCTTGTTCATCCATAGCCTCTGGTTGATAATGGTTTTGACTGTATTTTCATGCTTTGTGTGTGATAAATGCTTCCTTTTATATATGAGCATTTCTTCATTTTCTCCAAAGTTTCATATATTGGAGATGTTGTGCTTAATGTTCAAAATTTAGTGTGTTTCCAGAGAATCAGATAACTTCAAAGCAAGAATTGCTGCTAATGGCACTTATCGTGGTCTGTGCTTCTAGTTAGGCTGCCAAAGAAAAAATCACAGCTGGTTGCTGGGATGAAATGTTTCTTTTACACATTAATGCAACTCTGTTGACCTTGAAGAGTTTCTTTCAGTTTTTTGTTTTATTAGGTAGCATTTAGGACTGCAGGATATGATTCATACAAACATATTGCATTTTTTAATTAACTGGAGTTAGCAAGGGTTAGGTGTTGTCCATACGAATCAAGAGGAATTACTCTCAGTTGTTTCTTGCATCTTGTACTGTTGTTTGTTGTGCTATCGCGTTCCACTTCTATGAGATTTTATTATCTCAGTGGCAATACATATACACACTTCTTATATCTAGTTGTCTCGATTGCATACTAAGGGATGGGCTCCATCTTCTGTTATATATGTTTTCTGTAGTTTCAAGAACTGGACCGGTAGGAACACTAAATCCTTTACCAATTTTCCGTAGTTGCACCGACTATGCTGTGTTAGGTGATTACTGATGTATCTAGGTGGATTGGTGATAAATTACCTGGAATGGTAAAGTTAGGTGGATTTTTCCTTTTCCATCCCTTCATTATCCCTATCTCTACATATGCTGCTTTTGCCTCTCACTGTGACAAGAATGCTCAGGCTCTTTCTCAATGAGCATTCAGATGCACTCCATGATAGGAACACGCATATATGATGGACAAGCATCTTTCTCCTCTGTATCCAAACATTGGATGTAGGTTTCATGCTGCATGGTTTGTGCGGGAGAGAAGTCTTGAACCATCTTCCACAATTGTTCATTGGATAAAATATGTCACATGGTTTGGATCATCAAAGTCCATTGTTGGGAACTGACACAGATACATTCTCCTGATTACTTAAGAAACTTGACCTCCACGTGTTCTTCTGGAGTTTGTCAACCATGGTGTGTATAGCTGTACTTCATGTATGTTCTTATGTTAGTTTGATGATCTAAGGCACCAGCTTACCCTGCTTTTGCTATTGCTTTCTTTGTTCTAGGGAGTGTTGTGTTTAAAGTTTATATTGTTGGGAGACCATGAAGGCGGTGAGGCCTCTCTCATTACCTATGAGCTTTTGAACATTGCTGGCATGTCCTGGTTTCCACTTGTTTCTTGCACTGCCACTTCTGCAGATAATGCTAATTTGAACCCTGGTGTTGCTGGTAAGTTGTGATTCATGACTTCTTTTTGTTAACTTCTGCAAGGCTTTTCTTATCAGCTTGTGAAGATAGTTACAAGCATAAATTTGCAATTTGTCGTTGATACTGAGAGCATATAAATCATATTATTGGGTGGTTTTGATGGAATGATCATTAAAGCCATGCCTTATTTCCTGTCACATTAACATTCGTTGGTATACCTCGTGCAGTAGATGATTCCCCAGGATAATTTCTAGATCCAAAGCTAGTGGGAGATTTGAATGCTATTGTTTGTCCTCTTTAAACCTTTAACTGTGAAAAAGATGGATTTGTTCCCGTCATCATTGGTGCCATTGAACTGTATTCAGCAATTGAGAGCCTGCAATAAGGCCTTGAGCATAATATTCTGGCAAGTTCCGGTAATATATTCCTCTCGTCCTGCAGAGCTTCCTCCACGACCGTTGCTTGGGAAACTCGCAAGGGAACTTCATCGTTGACTAGTAACCACCTTCATATTTTCTTTCTTTTTTCATCAGTATAAATGTTATTATCTCCTGCTTGTTTTTACGTTGTTAAATACATGGAGGGGTCTCCGGCTGTTCAATCTTGATATTATCCGAGAGCATTGGACCAGAGATCTGTCGTCAACATTAACTACATTCCTGGCAAGACAACATTTTATTTTCTTTTGTATTGTCTTTTCCATCCAAATTTGTTTTCAATCACTCTTTAAACGGTGTTTTATTGCTATATCTTGAAAATTTGCCCTACGGTTTCGTTTTATTGTTTATCTTAACATGGAAACGTGGCAGGTTACGGGAAAATGCCATAGCGTGAGCAATAATTACAGACTTCGTTCCGAGCCTTGTACAGAATCAATACAAGAAAAAATCCACCTAGAAACTGTTTGAAGCACGATTGACTTGACATAAAAGTTGTCTCAAAAGCATCATGTTGTCTGAGAAAGTATGTGAGGGGGGCTAGCAGCTGGAGGATACAAGTAATCCCAACCTTCAACTTCTGTGATTACTGGCAGGCAGGCTGGTTGGCAGGATGCGTGCCTGCTGCGCTACTCGTGAGCAACAATCGATGGCTATCAGCTCCCTTGAATTCAGCTGGCTTTGCCCAACTCGTTATGTTATCTCGCCATTATCTCGTGCTGTTCAAAGGTGCCATGCGCAGCCGTTGAATAGCAACCTCATGATGTGTACAGTCATTTCTGTTGGGATAGTATCCCGCTTGACTGGTCGAGCAGTTCATAGGATAATGTTGCCTTGTTTTTGACAAATAAATTCCGTTGTGTACACAGAGCTATCGATTCTTAGGGATTTTTCATTATATAAAAATAAAAGGCTAAACACTAAAGGATATGCTATCGTCACGTGTGGTTCAGAGTTTCATTTGACAGAATCATATCTGCTTGTGGGTGGTGCACCGACCACCAAGCGATGCACTCCCAGTCTCCCACTGAAACGACCGAGTTACCTTGTGAATTTTCTATGGCACAAACTGCAGAAAGTGTTTTATGCCTTGACAACATCAACACGAAAGAAAAATGTTTTCCATTTTCAATATACCAAGCAAAACCTTACAGCTCATCTTTGGGTAAGCAAGCTTGAGGATTCCCCGTGATTATACCTGTATCAGATTCGTGTTTGACGTCCGTTCTCACAGGTTTCTGGCTACAAGAGGGTCAAACCTTGAGACCTTACAGGGGAAGAGGAGACATGTTAATTGGCTAGAGACACGATTTTGAATGCTCAATAGAGTCTCGTGAGAAGGTAGCTTTGGGCTCCTACTCGCTTCTTCAAAATTATCAAATTACTATTCGGAGAGACAATAAAATTATTAGTAATAATAATTGCATTTCATTCTTTGGTTTTTAAGACTCGGAAACACAAAGTAGTAATACATAAAAGCCGAAACACCCATCACGAAATCTCCAATAACAACAGAACATAAAAACCACAAAAAAGCAACTACCCACTTGTAACCGGTGCCTCTAATGCAGTAGTAGAAGGCAAATCAGCTCCATCACCATCAGCATCACCATCGACAGAAGAAGAAACAAGGGTCCAATCAGGTGGTAGGGGAGGTAGAGGAGCATAAACAGTGGGCTTGCGCCTTATGTCCCATGGTTGACTCTTTCTTGGCCTTGTTTTCCTGTGATGTGCAGTTGCCTTCTTCTGTGGCCTTGAAGAACACTCTATCGACATCCCACCATGACCAAAACCAGTGCCGATTGGGACCGTTTTGAACTCGCCGTTGACAGGCTTGAAAGACGGTGTAGTCGAGGGTTTGGATGCCAACAGAAATGGAGAGCCAAATATGGAAGAGACTGTCATTTTATCTTATTCCTCTGGGTAATTTCTTTCTCTTCTTTCTCTATATGCAACAGAAAGGTGAGCGCGCAATGGCTGTGGCGGAGGCCTTGTCGTCTGCTCAAAACAAAAGCAGCGGAGCTCTCTGGACCCTTCAATTCAGATTGGGATCTGTTATATATCATTTTCTAACTTCTCTACCATCCTTATCATTTTCTTTTTGGGCCTATGTTCGGGCCTTCTCGAGTTACCACTTGATAAGGATATGGAAATACGATATTTAAAAATAAAATAAAAAATCTAAAGTGAGTGAAATATACTTTAGTTTTTTTGTAATATTCTATATATGAGATAAGAATTTTATATACAAAAGAACAATGGAGATATTTTAGATTATTGCAAATAGTTGTTAAATCAACATGATTATTGCAAATCGTGCAAGTTCACTAGTCTGATTCTCCCTCCCCTCCCTCCTCTTTCTTTCCATAACTTTTCAATTTCAATCTATTTATTTTAAGAAAAACGGAAATCATAACTGTTCATTTTTTATTCAAATAATTCAATTTTTTATATCTATTAATTATTTTAATTATCTTTCTACCTTTTCAGTTAAAAGTTCTTTGAAAACAAAACATGTTTCCTCGCTTTGGGTGCAAAAATGCCATAAAAAATAATAATCAGACCAAAAATGGGAATTCGAGATAAAATATATGATGGGTTAACATTTTTTTTACCTGCGTACTCTCTTACAAAAGATTAATAAAAAATTGGGTAATAATTCAACATTTTTATTTTTGGTGTGTGTGTAGAGGTTTCTCGAATTATCGTACCTGTTATTTCTTATTAGTATTCCTTTTGATTTTGAATAATTTTAGACTTTGTTATTGGGTTAAAGGTATTTTATTCTTGAAAAGTCAAGTATATTTTATTTTAATAGATCGAAAATATTTTACTTACATTTTAATTTTTTTTAAAAAAAAGATAAACATAATGAGCTATAAAAATATAAATACCTCTTAAATGGCCAATTATATATATATATATATTAAGAATACTCTCAAATCAAAAAAAAATTAACATAATGAGCTATAAAAATATAGATACCTCTTATATGGCCAGTTTTATATATATATATTAAGAATACTCTCAAATATGATTTTTATCTTCTCTCAAATAAAAATGAATAGATTCAAGGAGTTTGGAAATGTTTGGTTCTCTACAATACAATGTTCTTGAGGTGGAACCAAATGCAAGCAAGAATAATTAAAATTTTAAATTCCAGTAGTCTCATGAATTGCTTGGATTCTTCTTAATTCCATAAATATTTTGAAATTTGAAAGATTGGTTTTTTGTTTATTGATTCTTTTAAGGTCATATTTGTTTTCTGGAAAACAGTTTCCAGGAAATCACTTTCGTTGATTCTTCTAAGGACATGTTTGTTTTCTAGAAAACAGTTTTCGGGAAACCATTTTCCTGTGTTTGTTTGTTATTAGGAAAGTTGGTCGACGGAAAGCATTTTTCGGTAAAAAAAACACTTTTCAGTCAACGAAAAACATACAGCCAATGAAAAACACTTTTCAGTCAACGAAAACACTTTCTGATCAACGAAAATACGGTGAACGAAAACACTTTCTGATCAACGAAAATATTTTTTAGTAAAAAAAAATTGGCTTGGTTTTCAGGAAAGTGTTTTCTTTTTTAGTTGTGTTTGTTTTTCCGGAAAGTAGTTTCCGGGAAAACACTTTCTAAACTTTCTTGTGTTTGTTTTTCAGAAAGTGGTTTCTGGGAAATCACTTTCCAAACTTTCTTGTTTTGAGAAAAATAAAATATTAATAAATTATTTTTCCAGTTCATTTTCCATAACATAATCAAATACTGAAAAGTGTTTTCCAATTTATTTTCCATAATACTACCAAACATCGAAAAATACTTTATTTTTCAAAAATTTATTTTTTTCAAAATTTACTTTTCTATAATTCATTTTTTTTAGAATTCATTTTCTTAAAAAAACAATTTTTTTACAAACAAAAGAGAATAAATCACACTCCTTGATTTATGTGTGGAAATTTCGTAACATCTTGATTATTTGATACAGGGATACTTCTTTCTTTCTACATGATCAGAAGTTATGTTTGGCAGGAGGTTCAAAATTCAAAGATAAGATGTTCAGAGAATAATTTGATGATTAAACGTCTAGGGAGTAAAAAAATATATAATAAAAGATAAAATGCTCACGAATTTTGGTAAAAATTTAAAAAAAAAGACTTGATTTTCTAATTAAATGGCAAATGCTCACGAATTTTGGTAAAATTTTTTTTTAAAAAAAGACTTGATTTTCTAATTAAATGGATCATATCTATCACATCGTTTCTCTAGACTTTGGTAATTGATGACATTACCACCAACATGACAGCATTGACTTTGTAGAATTCATCGAGGTCATGACAATCACCTTATAGTATGGCACGTTGCCGCAGCAGCTAGAATAATTGGAGTTTGTTGATATGCTCCGTCAGCATGTATTATTTCTCTATGTATTTTATCCTGTAATTATATAAAATCTTGCATCACGCATTGAAAATAATAAACCTTGTTTTAAAATGAACAGAGCCTGATAGTTGCTTTAATCTTAGAAGATGTTATTTTTACATTATTGTTCGTTAATGTTCTTTATGAATGTCTGTAACGTTGTGCAAACAATCTACCTAGTAATTTAACTACACAAGCATATAGACCAATGTTTCAATTTGTATTTTACATCGTGAAATTATTATTTTGTCCCTGATCGACATAACCCCTAGGAGAATAGTTCAGTGATTTTATAAGGGTTCAAATGTCATTGTCAAATTCACAAGGGTTAATTCTCATGGCAAGTTACTATCATTTAATTTTTTTTAAGAGGTATTCTCGGTTTTTTACATTTTTTAGATATTAAAATTGTTAAATTAACCCTAAAATTATTCTTTTAAACTCTGGAATAAGGGGTGTTTTTGTCATTTTATTTTATTGTTAAGTTGGATGGGGCAATTTAGTTTTTTTATTTAAACAAATATTATGAAAAATGAAGTTGGTGTCTACCATTTATGCATCAATGTATGGGCAAGTCTATACTCTTTAAGCAGCGTGTGAGCTACTTTCTAGTTGAAAAACACCAACTCGTGCCATGATGTTTGAAGCTACATGATGCCTTTTACTATGGGTGATGGAGCGTGTGGTATTTTGAAGGATGGCTGGGCTCCTGAGCCCTTTTTTATTTTTCTTTTGTTCTCTCTCTCTTCCACGTTAAATTACGTGCTGATTATTAAAAAAACTAACTTTATTTTTTTATTTTATAACATTTTATATCTGATCCTCTATGTTTTAATTTATAAACTAGATATTTTAATTTGTAAGTTTGATTGTCAATTTTTTTATTAAATTTTAACCTGTTTTCAATTTTATTCTTGGATATCGAATCTCAGTTTTTAATTTATTCATGTTTGGTCCTCGTTCTCTTGATTTTTATTTTTTATTTTTATTTTTTTATGAATTTAATATTTGTTTTTAATTTTACCTGTAAATTCTGATTTTAATGATATTTAAAATTAAACCCTCAATATTTTGATTTTAAATTTCGACTATTTATCATTTTATCAAAATAGATTTTTTTAAATTTTGACTATTTATCATTTTATCAAAATAGATTTTACAATTTCATCATTGAATTCATAATCTTGGTTTTTAATTTTTTCAAGTTTGATCCTCATTTTTTTTATTTTTTTGTTAATTTTTTTTCTTTCTGGTTTTACCATTCAATTCAAAGTTTAGTAATGTTTAAGGCTAGACCCTTGGTGTTTTAATTTAAAATTTTGATTATTAATCTTTTTATCAAATTTTAATTTGTTTTCAATTTCATTATTGGATCCATGGTCTTGTTTTTCAATTTCTTCAAACTTAATCCTCATTCTCTTGATTTTTATTATTTTTTCCTAGATACTCTTTATATTTTTTTTAAATTTCATTGTTCAGTTCAAATTTGATGATATTTAATATTGGGCTCTCAATGTTTTGATTTTCATTTTTTATTATTAACCCACATGTCAATATTTTTTTATTCAATTTCATCATTTGATCCATAATATTGCATTTTTATTTATCCGAGTATGGTCCTCATTCTCTTAATTTTAATTTTTATTTTGAATTCTTTTGTTAATTTAATTTATTTATTTGATTTTGCAATTTAATTGAAAATCTTAGGCTGTCCTCTCATTTTCTCAGAGTGGATACGGAGTGAGTACTAGTCATGTGCCAGGTGAGATGATTTAAATTAACCTAGGCCGGGTAAATCTTTTTTTATCTTGTCAAAAAAGCAAGGATGACATCATTTTAAAAAAAATAATTAATAATAATTAATAATTTTTGACATGGTCCTGACTAAGTTTACTGTTGGCTGATTAGGTTATGAGTTAACCCATGTTTTTTTATCATCTCACAGCAAGTCAGTTCTTTTTAGATTTATTATGAAACTCAAGTTGTCTTAGATTTCCGGGTCCTTCATTGTTTTATTTTTTATTAGATTATAATATTTATATGATTTTTTTTTGGATTTTTGACGATTTCATGTGAATTGGTTGATGACATGTGTTTTTAAATTTTTTTTATTAATTAATTTTTTTTCATGATTTCATCCTTGTATGTTTGAATTACAAGGATTGAAAATCATATGTTTTTTTAAAAAATTTATGGTGTCAAGTCATGGGTTTCTTCCCTTCTTTAAAATACATTAATAGCTCCTGGTATCACTTTCTGATGTTATAGAAAATTCAATTCGGTCTACGAGGAAGCATGAAACAACCATCTAGTTTATAACTAAAAAAAGATGAAAAAATATTATAAAAATAAAGGAAAATGTAATTATCTTAATTACATAGAAAAAAATAATCACTTTAATTTTAATCAAACTTCAATTGAAGTATATTCTCACACAGAAATAAATTTAATCATGTATTTTAATATTTTATTTCAAATATAATAATCATAACAAGTTTGGAATTAAATTCAACTCTACAATTTGACACATGCTGCAAAGCAACTAGATATATAAACTTAAAATCGAAGCAATGATAGATTTATGAGGTGTCGACGACACTGTAACATCCTTGCACCACAGCCAAACAGAAAAAATAAAAAGAGATA